CTATGTATAATTCATCTTTTTAACTCAATTGTCCCCAGTCTTTTCTACTAAGTTGTTGGATTTATGATTACGTTTCGTGAAAAATGTTGCCATGATCATTTTCTGATGTTCTTTCATGATTTATGCAACTAGGGAAGAAATGGGAGAGCTTTTTCATTTTGTTATTAGGATGAAAGAAGATAGGCATCTCTTGGTTTAGCTCCACCTTGTGGCTGATGTTTATTTGGTGATTGTTGTGAAGAGTTGAATTGGAAGTATAGAAGAGCTTACAAAAAGTATCAGAAGCATTCTCAAAATATATCAATGTCACAGAGAGATCAGAGGAAAAAGAGAGCTATATGGGTGAATTCTTTCCAAATGTATTGAAAATGAGTTTTACAATACAACATAACTAACATAGAAGCTATTTATACATGGTATTCAAATCAAGATTCATATTGTGAATCATGATGCAGATTTGATCATGCTTTGTGAAATTTATCTTATACATGAATTTTCTTTTTAATTTTTTTTAACGTTTTATGGCACAATTTTTGTGTTTTTGCATTGTAATGCAGAGCCAAACAAGCATTCTGAAAACTCAAGAGTATTTAGATGAGATGTGCTCTTGAGTTTGAATTTAATCCTAAATACACAGTAGTGTTAAATTCTTTTGAGAGTGATTTTTTATTTTGATCAGAGAACACACATTTTGTAAAAAAAAGTTAATACCTATTTTTCCTTAATCATATGTGCCATTTCTGAAAAAACTTCTGTAAAAATAAAATTGAAATCTCTTTTAAATTATAAGATTCTCCTACTTTGCTCTCTTATTAAACCCAATCACCAAAAATTGTGATGTGAAAAAGATATGCGGAAATATTTTAAAATTTTCATTTTAATTTAAATCCGCGTGATCAATATATTTAGGTTATGTAATCTCTGTATTATTAGAATCAAAGATTTATTATTAGTTTTTTTATTCTATGTTGGACATATTATAATTATGTTAAGCACTTTCAATATATTTTAAAACAGTTGAATATTTTCACAATTAATACTGTAAAATTATGATCATTTTGATTTTGTTATTTCTATTTAAATATGCTCTTATATTAAAGAATTAACTTTTCCGTGCGTCCCGTGCGGACGCACGGGTCTTCTACTAGTTTGTTAGAAAATAATGGTATTGACGAGATATTTTCAAAAAACTCGAAATCTTCCAATAAATTTGTGAAATAATTGTTTTATATTTTATAGGGTTAATATAGTAAACGCATAGGATATGAGGTGGTGCCAAGGGTGGCTGGATAAATCCTCGAGAGATGAATTGTATAGGCCTGACTAATAAATTGACATATGGTCCAGAAGGATCTTTTTGGAAAAAGTAGGGGAATTTCTTAATGCACCTTATGAATTACTAACACACTTAATGAAAATGCAATTATACCCACAGATTTCGGAGATGCATCTGTGGATGCAGATCAACTCAATACATTTCTGAACCAGACCCTAAGTCAATGTGAAAAAAATTAAGGAGATGGATTCCCGTGTACATTACAGCTTTGCATCTCTAGATGTTATTTGTTCAAAACTGCACCAAAACTCTTTCTCCTTCCTCACTTCTAAAAATGCAATTCTAAACCACTCAAGTTTCTCAGACTCTCTAAACTCACATTCTCTCAAAATCATTCAACCAACTTCGAAACTTCTCCCATCAACATCAATTCTATCAAAGAGCTCATTCAACACTGAAGTAAACTCATAATTTGTTATTTTTTAATTTTTTCTTTTTGAGTTTTTGTATAAATTTGTAGAAATTGATGATTAGATTATGAAATAGATAGTTTATACATGTTTGATAGTTTATACATAATGAGAAACGTGTTTGATAAGTAGTTTTATTGATTAATGCATTGTTTTTGCTGTTTTGGGGGAATGCTTTGCCGCCATTGACGTTGATGAGAGTTGTAGAAAATTCCAGAAATATGTCTCTGAAATTTTCCATTTTGATTCCCAGAAATAGGATATGGGTCTCTAGAGTTCTTCAGTGCATTTTTTTGGCAATTTTTACTTCTACTAATTCTCTAAAGCTTGTGTGATTTACTTACATGTATTAGGGATGATAGGCAAGACCGATTGAGGCACGACATGATTACACAACATGCATCTATTCAGAGGGAAAATAGTCAATCATCACATACTCTATATCTTCTAACCCGATTGATGCAGACAAATCAACTTTTAGGGCTCATGTATCACCACCTTCTTCTTCTCATAGGGGACTGGTGTCATCTACTCATGCATACTTGCCTTCATCTTCTCGTAGGCAATAAGTTTCGCCTATTCAGTCATCCGAAACAGCAGATGTACCCGAGTCACCAGAGGTACCTTAAACACTAAAGGTTTCTGAAGCAACCCAGGCACATGGGTAGTAGAGGTACTTGAGGCACCACGGGCCCAGAAGGCAGCATAGGCACCACAAGGGTTAAAAGGTGGCTCATCAAACTTGTCACCGCTTCCTCTTTACCCGGACCATACTATTGAGACAGAGAGGTTAAATTTAGTTGGATTCATTCTTTTTAAATTATGTTTGTTATAATATTAAAAGTTTCTAACGTTGATTTATTTTTCTACTTGATTATGATCCGCTAAAACTCATCAACCATGGGTGAAAGATTACTGGTATGCAACAACCTAATGAGCAGTGGTTTCAAGATGCAGTTATCTTGGATGAGAAACTTGTGTAAGACCTATTATGTTACAGTTAACCATTGTATTCTTAATGTGTTTGTAGAGAGATGACACATAGAGTCGTCATTATTTCATCTATCACATGGTGAGATGTCTATCACAGTGGACGATGTCTCGTGTCTGCTGTTCTTTCAATTAGGGGAAAACTTTTAGATCATAAAAAGATTAACTGAGATGATGCACTGGAGTTGATGGTAGACTATCTGGGAGTTAACCTAGAGGTTGCCATGAAGGATTTTGAAATCACCTGATGGGCTTATGTGAGGTTTCGTTTCTTGGAGAATGTGTATACATATGAGCTACTTAGAGTACAACAGGCTACTGGTGATTACGAGAAGGTTGTCCAACGTAGAGCATATGATATGAGAGTATACATGTTGTATTTGGTTGGAATTGTCATTTTTTAGGACAAGAGTGTCACTTATGTGGATGACATCTACATACGATACTTCGATGACTTTGAGCGGATCCATGAGTACAATTAGGGGTCGTTTATTTGGTTTACTTGTACTCTAAGTTATCTGAAGGTTGTATGTGGAAGGTGAAACAAGTGACAAACATCACCACACTATTGAAGGTAATATTTATTGGTCTTTTAGTGTTTATGTGTCATTTTTATTACACTTTTAGAACGTCATTACTAATGATTCATGTGTTCTAACACTTTTCAGCCTTGGATCCTCTAGCACTTCCCACGCATATCCGACTGGTCATGTGTACCGCTCGGAGGGAACCAGGCGACAGAGTTGTTCAAAGTGTATCTTGACCGCTTGGTAGTATAGGATATACAATTCCATACGTACTTCGATCACCATGAGGCACGTCCTTTTGACGACATAGTTTTATACCTAGGATGGTTGGCTTGCGGTTCATGTATGATGTTTCCTCATGTGCTTAAGATCGTCATGCGGCAGCTCGGCTACATGCAGTACATTCCTAGATACCCTTTTGTGTCTGATCCTTCCGTTATGACGCGTAGAGATAAAGATGTTATGTTTGATTATTATCTTAATCATATGATACCGGAGGAGGCACAGAGTACCATAGCTGAGAGCGACTGGAGCTACATAGATGGTTACATCTAGCGGTTCTTCAGAGTGTCACATCCTTATATGATATAAGATGCTCCAGGAGATCCACCGAGGACAGCTCATCAGGAGATACTAGAGGAGAAGCATACTAGGGTATATTATGTTGTTGATGTGTTTCCTAGATGTCGCCGTATCATGAAGATTGGGCAGGGGGTATTGACAGAGGACTCTTTCCGGATGACTCTGAGGGCAGATATGTTGTAGATGTCATGATGTCAGAGGCATGGGAGACACTGCAATATAGGAGACAACGTATGAACAGGGAGTCCCAGGTTTGAGTCTGACATGCACAACAGTATATAATATTTGTACTATGGATTTATTTTCGGTTGTATTTCATTTTGACTTATTTCAACTTCATTTTGTACTCTGAATTTATTACTTTATATATGTCATTTTCTGCATATCGGTTGTATGGTTTAGTTTATCATAGTATATCTTTACTATATCGTCATTTTTATCTAAACATCACTAAACAAACTTAAAATTTACTGTCTGGTCTGGTTGCGGAGATGTTTTTCCGAATTCTGTCTGGTGTGAATACGGAGATGCATCTCCAGAACAATTTATGGTAAAAGATGCATTTTAGAGAAGCATACATAAAATGTGCATTGAATTATTTCAGAGATGCATTTCTTAGTTTTAACTTTTAAATTAAGGGGCACTTTTATTTATTTATTATAGGGTGATTTTTCACCACTTAGATGAATTTTCTTGTAAAAGATAATATTGACAATTTGAGACGTATCTAGGCCTAATTAAAATCATACACTGAAGTTATGGATCCAAACTATCCAATTTGGCAAGTTAATTAAAAGAAAATATGGCTTACATCTTAATAGTGCCACTTACAAAACCCATAATACATAGCTAGTCAAAGCTGAAAAACTGTTGTATTCATAACTTCTTGTAAAGGTCATGGACAAGCTTCACAAAAAGTTTGTCGCCGCCCATTATGTTACATCACATAAGCAAATACTATTAGGACTCGACAAGCTCAAAAACCAAAAAAAAAAAAAAAAAAACAACCATGCTAAACAAGTAATTAACAGATACCAACCACCAAACAACCTAGAAAACACACCTTGGCTACAATTTGTTAACACAACTACTTCATAACATTAGCAATTAAGATGTCTACTTGATAACATTAGCAACTAAGATGTCTTGTAACCCTTAGATCAGACTTGACATCCTTCTTTTATGACGACATAATGTTACTCTCAAATTCGAATCTGATGATGTAACCGCTGTACTTTGAGGACTTATGACTTTTGATTCCAATTCATTGCAGTTAGGCCTTTCTGAATGAATGATAGTATTTGGAACATTATTTGTTCCAGTTTGTCGCGACTTTCCAGTTGAACTTCGCAGTATTGTTTTGATGCGAAGATCTGAATGACTTAATGATTGTGAACATGGGAACTGGATTGAACTTCTGGTGACTATTGATCTCAGACTTTTTGTTCTGCTACCAATTTCTTGTTCAGCTGCAATTTGCCTATGTCGACTAGCAACAGTTGAGTTCATGAATCGAGGCACTGAATTGGAGATTCTTTGAATAGACTTCTTAGATGCTTTAGGTGTTTCAGTGACCTCTTTGAAATCATCTTTGAGGCTAGTAGAAGTTTCCAAGTCATCACTTTCCTTAAGACTACATTTGGTTGAAAAGAGCTTTTTATTCTCGCTTAACTTTAACTCAACCTTCTGTATTTGATCCCTTAAACTCTGACGCTCTTTTTCAGCTTCCATAATGTCTTCCTCAAGCTCCATAATCTTCTTCTCCTTTTGCTTTTTCAATTCCTACAGTACACAAATGTATGCAGTAAGCAATGTTCAAACAGCTTACACTGAGGGAATTGGTTTAAGACAAGGTTTAGTAAGTTTACCATAGGTACTTCTTTATTGGACTCTATTGCTCTTGCTCTCTTTGCAAAGTTTAAAGAACAAATCGTCTCGCAAACATCTTCTTCGGAAGGGCTAATATGCACGAGCATCAAGACCTTGGAGCCATCGCCTTAAGTATTTCATAATAAAGATTAGACATTTTAAATTACAAGGAAAAAACCAGAAAAAAGAAAAGTCAGCATAAAATAAAACATGAACTGTCCATATTACATCTGCACATGGTTGGTTCATTCAGATGTCTCATTGTTCTTACTCTAGTCTCTCAATTACTCATTATTTTCTACGCAAAAGTTGACTGTATTCGCAATTTAGAGAAGAAAGCAGGATCATACCGAGAGAATCTCTCAGTAGCTGGGTCAGCTTGCTATTTCTGCAAAGAAAAAAACATAAATTTATGTGATACCTTGACGAGGTTAATTAAACGTGACAGCTCAACAGCAAAATACTCGCCTGTAAGGCACATGACACCTCTTTCTCTTCAAAGCTGCAAGGACATCAGCTAGAGCTGAAAGAGAAAGATTAATAGCTCGACCTTCGTCAAGTGTTAGTCCTCTGGCCCCGGTTTTTAGCAATCGTTCACTGCCCCCAAGATCAACCATCCACAACTTACTTGTTTCACTTTTGGCTTCCGGAGAATCCCCACGTCTAAATATGTTTATCCTTGTCAAGCTAGATATATAAAGCTAAACAGATAAAGTAACTATCAAGCAGAGAAAACCATGAAAATGTTTTGGAGTATCTATTTAGAACTGTGACTCACCAGTGTGACCTGCTTGATGCCTCGTTTACATTTGTCCATGAGGTTGATCTGAATCGTTTTCCTTTGTTGTACCACCATCTTGCTTTAGCACTATCGGAAATTTGCACTTCTGAGAGACCCTCAATTTCTACCAATCCCTTTGGATCTGTTTGGATGTTGAGATTGCTGTAAAAGTAGTCGGTGAGCCACAGTATCAGACAAATTACCCTATGAAAGTTGATCATACATAGTTTGATTTTGGCATTTTTAAATGTTCTACAGTAGAATTGATTCAAACATGAAGCTATAATCTGGAATTTTTGCCTCAAATTTAATATCAGCTCAATAAGTCAGTTTACATTCAATTCACTTTTAGTCTAAATAAATTTATTCTAAATCAATTTTCAGAACCAAATATTCACATACAACTTTTTGTGAAAAAAGTAAAAAGGTTACCACTTAGTGAGAGGTTCATGTGTTCTACAAGCCTGTCTTGGAGTCAGCAGATCCCTGACATGACCCATGTAAACTTCCAACATACTCATTGAAAAAGTAAAAGAAGACGAAGCATCCATTGATGCTTGACGAAAGAGCTCTTCAATAGCACGAGGAATAATCCCCGGCTGCTCATTTGTACCATCCTAAAAAGAATCTTATATATCAGAAACCACAACATACATTAGATAATATTAATAGCTAGCTGCTACACAGACACACTTTGAGCAGTAACATTAATCGACAGATGAACACATTATGGACAGAATTTTGACATCACTGACCATGGTGAATGTCTTGCCTGTGCCGGTTTGACCATAAGCGAAAACGCACACATTATGCCCGTCCATTGCAGACCTTAGAATCGGCTCCACCTCAACAAAAACATTTTCTGCAGACGTTCATAAGCACAGTAAAATTTAGTACTAAACTCAAATAATTAAAATTGGGTAACACAACAAAATGGAATTCAATATTAACCTTGAATTGTTTCTTGACGAAAAACCTTATCAAACTCAAACTCTTTCCTTGTCCCTCCAAATTTAACTCGAACTCTCTCTGATTCAGCTGAGACAGGTTCACCATTTCTTCTCTTCTCTATCGAAACACTCGGTCGAATCCTACAAAACACTCTAATGCTCCCTGAATAACAAAATAAAATTCTTCAACCCTCAAATAAAAATAACATATCAACATATAATAGAATCCCCAATTAACACTACCTTTGATATCCAATATCTTACTCAAAGCTTGTCTCCTCTTTCCATCCACAACTCTCTGCTTCACCCTCAGTTCATCAACCTCTCCTGAATAAAACAAAACAAAATCAGCAACATCTATTTCACCTTCACATATTTAATTCAACAAAACCAAAAAAGGAAATAAAAAGATTGTTAATTTATCTATCTATACTCTGTAAATTGGATATCAAGTGTTGAATCTCGTTGTTTTGTTGCTCAGGAACAACAGCCACATCAGTGTAAACTTTTGTAACAGAGTTTGAAAGCTGAGTTTCATTTTCTCCATTAGAAAGCAACATATTTCCAGCCACAAGTAAGAGAAGTTTCTAGAGGCTTTTGCAAAACGACAAGAAGCTGGAACATGAATAATGAAGCATGCGTTATGATGAAGCTATTATGTAGAGAAGAAGAAGAAAAAAAAAACATTAACCGTGATTTCTGTAACGTAAACAAAAAACCAGAAAAGAAAGAATGGGAAGGTGTGAAAAAAAGTGAAGGAGTATGGATCAAGGTTGAAAGAAAGGAGGCACTGATTTTGAAGAAGGTTAAAAAAGTGTTGGGTTAGTTAGAATGATTGAAGAGTTTGGTGTAATTTGGAAATAAAATATGATTGGACAGTGTCAGGTGGTGGAGCCTGATTGTGATTAAGGATAATGATAATTAATAATAGTAGTAATAAAGAAAATAAGATTAGTGGTGTAGTAGAAGAATTGAAGTGTAAAGTTGTATATTGGGGAGGGAGCGTGAGGAGTGTTGATAACAGGGTGTGTGTCAGTGTTTTTCTTTCTTTCTTTTGAGTAAAAACTTTGACTAGACAGACGCAAGGGAGAACGTGGTTGGTTGGTTGGTAGAGTGCTTCCTTTCTGCCAATACTATATCATATATGGGTCTGTCTCTGTCTCGCAACTTGGTTGGGTATCCGATAATGGATTAAGTTTTCGATACTGTCATTCATCCTATTAGCTTGTTTTAAATTATAAGTTATTTAAAATATATATATATATATATATATTTGTTCTAAATTATAAGTTATTTTAGAATTCAATACAATATTAATAATATTTTTTTTAATATACTTTTTATCATTTATTTTTTTCTTCTTATTTTTTTAATCTACTTTTCAATATAATTAATGAAGAATAATTTTGTAAAATCATAGATCATTTCAATTCTTCATAAAGTAATAATTGCATTTCTTAAACTATGTGAAATGACCAAAATATCTTATAATTTGGACTGAGAAAGTACTATACAAAAATATTTGTATTAGTGCTATTTTAATTAATAATACATTGTCATGTTGTAAGCAAATATTTATCATTTATAACCAAAAACAAATAACTATCGTATTGGAACCAATCACTAAATGAGGAGAAAATAGTTTCTTGCGGTGGTTTTGAACTTTTAATGTGGTGAAAAGTGTGTTGATATGTAATATTAGTATTTTAACATTCAAGTCAGTAAGAGAGTGAAAATGATACGTCAATGAGAATGGATTTGAATATATGAGAAATTGTGTGTTTTCCCTCTTAAATAGAAGAAATTGTTGGCAACTGAAAGCATAGAGTGAGGTGTAGATCGCGGTCAGCCTTCAGATGGATTTGGACGGTTGGTGAGGCTCCCGCGACATAATAACCTATCTAAGTGGAGGAAATGGTATACATGTTATGTGCGCTTGACTGTTTACGTTGTATCATTTCAATTTTTCTACCTTGGGCCTTGTGAATGACGCAAATAAGTTGTTCCTCAAGCCCTAGACTTTGCTTTGCAAGATGAGGGTTTGTCATATGTGTTCCAACCCGATCGTTGGGTCTAGGGAGTCGAAAGCCTTTGATGGGACGTCATTATCATTGTAGACATGCGTGTTTAATGTCATTCTCGATATATGTAACATTTTGTTAGGAACGAGTGATGTATGTCCCTATGCTAATTAACGTTGATGTTTCCTCTTCCTTATTGTACTTGAGTACTTCGAACGGTTTTCAATGAAATCTCAATCGTTGGTGGTACGCCATGGATCTTACGATCATTACCACATAAGTAGCTTATAAGAGGATTTCAAAACGTCATTTTGACCCATTTATGCCATTACAATCTGCAAAAAAAACTCCCATTTTGCTCTCCTTATTAATCTTTCTTCTGAATTTCCATATTCCAACTTTGGTCAAGTTCATATAATCTTGTTCGTTGGCACTTAACATGCATGATCAATCGGTCGATCTTCTTGAAGATGAACCTAACGTTTTTCTATTGCTTCTGCTCCCTTTTATATGGCTTCCTTAATAGTGGACTTTTGATACCTCTATTTTTTCTGAGAAATTTCTTCAGTTGCTAGTATTTTCTACTATAGGTGTTTGTTTCTAAATTTGCTTACTTATCATATCTTGTTTGTATTTGGCTCATCTTCGAAGTTCTTATTGAAGAACTTATGAAAACAAACTGAAAAACGTTATGAACAATATCATAAGTTGTTTTCATAAGTTCTCTCAAACCAATAGTCTTACAAAACTTATGTTACTACGTAAATTCAGATAAGTTGTTGCAAAGAAACATTTAGTCCCATTGGTATATTAATTTTTTAGTCTATTTAAATATTAGTTGAATTGATTATTTACATATGTTCAAATAAAATTGACTTCTAAGTATGCTAATATGCCAACTAGGCATTCGAAAAGATCGGACTCAAATCTAAAAATAAGTTTATAGAAGACTACAAGCAAGACTTAATCTTTGAATTTTATAGTAGGTCAGACTTAGGCTTGGAAAAGCCTACATCGATCCAGCTTATTCTCGCACATTTTCGTCAGGCGTATGTCGTCATGGCTTTTGGAGCCGCCATACTTAGGAAAGTCTTTTTGCTCAATCGTCTTCGACGAGAGAAGGATATACTCAAAGAGTGAGTTAATGCCCTCACTGTTGAGCAAAATAATTTCGGGAACTCCTGACTTTTTTATGGCTAAAATGCCATTGTTGATCCTTTTGGATATCCCGACGCTATAACCAAAAAGGTAAAGTTACTTGCTCATAAAGTGACAGAAAAAGAGTGATGCTTTGGCTTCTTCTTAGACATCGTTGTCTAGATTGGAGGTTGCTCTCGATGAAGCAAAAAATTCATTGAATCCTGGATAGAAAAAGATACAAGTGCTTGAAAAGTCTCTGAAGGAATATCAAGAATGTTGGGAAAATGTAAAGGAATGCCTTTGTAAGATGCGCCTCGAGAATCTTGTCTTATTGACGAGTTAGCCAAATTAATTAAAAAAAGTTACTCTATTGGCCAAGACTCTTTTAAAAGTACCTTGAAGCATATGAAATATTTTTTATCCTATTAGGTCCATCTCTCAAGAGCATGTTAGTCTTGATTAAGCTATTGAAGACGGGAAGGTGGTTTCTTTAGTGGATTAGCTGCCTCTTTTCCTTTTTTTGGTCGACATGCTTCTACCCGACATATATTAATTCAATGAATAACTAACTTTATCATTCATGTCTTGCAAAGTACATTTCCATTTGTTACTTACCAATTTTACATATTTACGTTATATTACTTCCATTCTCAAGTTCGTTACTCTGAGATGTAGGTTACCTTTCAAGTTGTGCTCAAAGTTTCATTGGACGTCTTTGGGGATCGTTCTCGAACAAGGGTCAATACCCATTCTCTGGTCAGAGGTAAAAACTTGGTTCGAGATTGCGTATGGAAGACTCATCATTGCCTCAATAGTGATTCGCTATCATGAGGGGGTAATTTGGTATTTGCCACTATGTGGCCTAACTTCTTTGTGTGTGTGTGCGCGCGCATTAGCATCATGGAGTTTGGATTTCACTAGTCATATGCGTGTGATATTTGTGACAACACTTCTAATTTTTTGTTATGGGGATTTGATTTCTTTTGGTCGTACCCCAAACTCATCATTACCTTTCATAATCACAAAGAAAATAGATGATTTAGTCAAAATATATATGCATTTCTTTATGGAACATCATTGTACATACATTCAAAATTAATCCAAATTGAAACCTAAGCCTAAATTTGGGCTCAAAATTAAGCAAAATCCATTCAATCATAAGATCAAAACAACGAACCATAACCCTTATTCATTCCCAAATATGTTCATTTATTGTGATTACAATGATTAGTTTAAGTAATTCAAAGAATAAACAAGTTATAACCATAACAATATATGAAGAAGATGCAGCAAAATGAGGGAATCAAAGCCTTACCAGAGTATGAAACTTCGATGAGGAATTTAGAAAACTCTGATAGGTGTTCATCCCAAATAAGCACATTTTTGATGATGTTTGATGCAGTTATGGGTTGATGAGGGATGAACACCATATGTGTTCATCCTTAAAAGCCTTTTTGATCCATTTTCTTAAGCAAAAATGTGTTTGTCTGTGTTTGGAGAGAGAGAGAGAGAGAGAGAGAGAGAGAGAGAGAGAGAGCATTTGGTTATGAGCGCCTAATGTTGACTTTTCTCTTTATCATTTTTTGTCATCATTGCCTTCCCTTTGGCCACATGGCTCATTCATGGGCCATCAAATTTGTTTCCTTTGGTCAAATGCTGACTAAATTTTGCACATGCTCCCTCAATGAAGACTTTATCATACACCCTCCAAATGTGACCATTAGATTTATCCCTGATCTCATCTCATGGAAGAGGTAGAGTCAACGAAGGTTAGTTCTATCCTTTCCTCTTGGACCACGTCTGGGCTTCTGTTGGGCTCAACTTATATTAATACCTTTTTTTTTTTTTAATATAATTGCAACCATTTTTTTGTTTTATTTTTGAATATTGATTTGGGTCATGGGACATTACTATTTTATGTTTGCTAAACTTATAACCCTACATTTCTATCACACCCTTTTTCTTTTCTTATTTCTTTTTTTTTTCCTTTTATTTATTTTATTCATTATCTTAATGAATTAAATAAACAAATGATAAATAAAATGTTTTCAATAATTAAAAAAATTCTTATTCAATGTCAAACAATAATTTTCAAAACTTGTTTCTTTCGATTAATTTCAAATTAACGCAGACTAAACCTCGATCTTCATCAAGTGCATTTTCCCAAATTAGATTAAAACATCTAATCACTTTTTGAACATTTTTTCACACAGGATGAAAAATGAAATTGTCTAGTGTCTACTATTCTTTTTTTCGATTGTTTGGGTACAGATTGCCTAATTCGTCATCCGAGCATTCATTATCCGTTTAAAAATCACCAACTTGATTCATCTAAAACCACTTTTGTAATGAAATCTTAAGCGAACTTGCTTTCGTAATAAATCGGACGAAAAAGGAAATGGTCTAGTGTCTACTATTTTTCCCCCCGAATACTTAGGTACGAGGTGTATAACTCATCCATTTGAGTATTCGTCATCTACTCAAAGCATTATAACTATATCTAATCCTTTTGCAATTCAAAGTATGAAAAAGGAAATGGTATATTGTCTTCTATTATTTTTCCCAATTATTTGGGGACAAAGTTTCTAACTCGACCATTCGAACGATCGTCATCCACGCAAATACAAACTTCAACAAATCAAACCCATTTTCTCGTCCCTGCGTGATTGAAAACCTTTTTACAAAGAATATTGTTTAATCCGTTTTATCGTGATACAAATAAACGCTTTAAGCCTCCAATTGCTAGAGCGTGATCTAAATATTTGTTCAATAAAATCAACCAACTGATACATAGTTTTCTATGCAGAACTACACTGCTTTGAATTCCTCATTGTTTCTGAAGATACGTAGGAGCGAGACCTGCAATCTCGTTAAACACCCTAATAAAAACTTTTTTGCGACCCCTTTTTTACTTTCATTTTCAATCTTCTATAACTTGAAGAAAACAAACGACATAAGCTAGCTTTTAGTCATATTGCATTGACTTTTAGTTAAATGTCTGATATATGCATGTTAAATAATTTTTTGACTATAAGCGAGTGAAATACTTATTGTGAGAGACTTAAATGTGATAAAATAATAATATGAAAAGCATCATAACAAATAAATTAGTAGTGTTACCGAATGAGGAGTTTCAGTCTCCCCTTTTTAATGTTTGACAAATATTGAGATTTGAGATCCTTAGAGCTTAGATTTCCTTTACATTCAAAAGTCACATGCAAAAACTGTATTTCATAATCTCACAAACCTTCATCCTTTTAACAAAATAAAAAAGAGAGAAGGAAAAACAAGACAAAAGAAATTAATTATTAAAGAAAATATTTAAGCAATTGTAATATTGACTGCAATAAATGATACATTGAGATTTAAAGCAACAAAATAAATCACTTGTTTACAAAATGATCCATGCATAATTCATGACAAAGGAGAAGCATATCAACTTCGTTAATTGACCCATATCCAAACCTACCATTGATGATACTGATTGTGAATCGAGAATCTTATGGAAGACTTTTGAGGATTACATCCAGATGTTTGAGTGTATAATTTGGTTCATTAATGACGTTGACTAATCCAATTAGGTTTTGAACACGAGCAATGAATTATAAAGTATAATTCTTACAACATTTAAGACGCGTGTGACATAATTCAGATTGAATTTGACACAACTTTACAATTGCGTGTATTTAGAAGTAAGCATGAATTTCTTTCCCAAGACAACCATAAACTCTTGCATTCAAATGACGCGGGTGATCATATATCGAGAGACAATGGATTACAAGCACACAAGTATAATCTAATCGCATTGTTATTAGACTTTAAATGCAGGGGAAAGACGAGTTTAATTCATATAATCTAGAGTGAAGAATTTGACAAGAATTGAAAGATTAAAGATAAAATTATGCATTTGAGTTTTTATCACGTGCTCTCCTTATTGACACCCTAAAAAATAATTTCCTTAATTCAACTTCTTAGAGATTACGTTGTTAATGCACATGATTATGATGAATACTCATGAAACAAATATTAAAAAAAAAAAGTCTATTGATACATATTAAAATACATATGATATATAATTGATTGAAAGAATTCTCAACTATATATCTTTTATTTATTAACTACATTAGAAGACGTTTGATCTATTTATAGACCCAATAATCTAACTAGTTTTAGTTAGTTAAATCCTAATAGCTAACTCCTCAAATATAATAAACTTAGTTAAATTTTTGATGAAAGGATGATAAAAAATTAAATTAAGGACTTATTTTTATTTTTCTTGATAGAGGATGCCTCTCCTAAAACAAAAGTGGAAATGTTGAGTTGCATGAAATGAAATGAAGTTGTGCTTGGACTAAACTAAGGAAGGACATGTGGTAAATTGCTAATCAACCACTTAAGCAGTAAAATAAGGAAACAGAGCAGCTAGCACAGCTGTGGATTCCGATTTTCTACATACTTCAGCTTCTCATGGAAAAGACAATCTTACCCTCGATTCATAATCACAACCAAACCGAGTAAAAAACCAGCCATAACTAAAATCAAAAGCCTATTTTACATTTGCATCCATTTTCACTCTCTTCTTCGTTTTCCCTTCTCTACAAAGTTGATTAAATCTTCCACAAAACTGAAAAACAGAGCCACACATTCATCACTGATCGAGGTTCGCTCGCACTTCATTTTACAATTCCAAGTTTCTTTTCCATTATTTGTCAGCATTAAATTCAAAATTAAAATGTATAAGTTTCACGATAACGCTTTTTATGATTAGGTTATCAATTTTCGTAACGGTACATGATTTATTATTGTTGTTATTGTGAATTTAATTCTCACTATACATTCTGAATGATTTGGGAAATTCGATTGCTTCGGTTGGCTTTTTTCTCTTCCAATTCAGGTTTCTCTTTGGTGATTGATTATGTAATTGTGTTTAGGTTTTAATCCACATTTAGTTTTCTGCGAATTCTATATTAATGTACGTTTTGAGTGGTGAATGAGTTGGAGATTTGGTTGAATGCAATTGAAAGGAGGCATGGAAATGCTGAATTTAGTGTTAATTGAGATATTAAGACTCTTAATGTTAGTTAATGATATGCAGTTGCAGAAAGTATTTGTCTACAAATTAAATAGTTACAGGCTGATGGAAATTATTTGGGGAATTGATCAGGACATGGATTAGGAAAAAGCTTTGATGATGTAATTTAAGCTCTCGATTTGCAAATAATGATTTGGCTTTTTTGCATTGTTTGTTGTTTACGTAATGTCAGTGGTTTCATTTGAGGTTGCATTGCATTGGTCACTTTTCTTGCTTTTCAGTGAAGTTATTGATTTTACTGAGCTCAGTTTTGTTTTTTGATGGAATTTTTAGTGTTCTTTTTTTTAATTTGCTTCAAATCCCAATTCAAATTTCTGTTACTGGACATTGAATGTACTATGAGTTGTTGCTATATTTGCAAAGAATTAGATGTACTGGATTTACTTAAGTTCAGAGCTGATGGGTTAGGTCTAATGCATGGTATAGTTGACAGTGTTTCGGAAGGTGACACGGCCTGGAGACTTAAGAGTTCTTTTGTACAGAAGCTATTATAGTTGTTCTAGAAGCTCCTAGATTGGCAGGGAGATTGTGTTTCTTCTGGTATTTGATATCTTGTTAGTGGGTTTAGTTTGATAAGTTTATCCGGGACATGTTTTGAAAATTCAGGGTATGGATTTTCAGAAGTTATAGGGTTGGTTGATTGTTGAGCATAAAAGTCAAATGTCCATGCTTGACTTTCCAAGGTGTTGGATCTATAAATTCTCTCTTGCAGCGCTTGTGCACTGCAGCAATTTATTCCGTTAAGGTTACCGCATCTGTAATGTATCCTGCCGACCATTTTCAAATATAAATTGTATATTTTATTTTATATGGGTTGACTTGTGTGGTTGAAGCTAAAGCAAATAACTTATTATGGTATGCCGCCTTTTTAATTATCTTAATTACTCTGGGATATATGTTATTTATCATTTTTTTCCACCAGTTTCGGCAATGCACCACGTGGGTAGTGTAGGGAACCCAAATAATTCAACTCGCCCACGCAAGGAAAAGAGATTGACATATGTGTTGAATGATTCTGATGACACAAAGGTAACACATTATTTCTTTATTATATTTATTCCAAAAAATGACCTAGTTTCATGTTTGTCATATCCTGCTTCTTTACCCCCATAGACCTTTTCTTTGACATTTGCCTCAAACTTTTGAACTAGATGAGACTGTGAACCTGGTTGTTTCGGATTGTTTCATGAAAAAACCACCTTTTTAAAAAGAAAGTTCACTTTGATTTTCAACATTTTTTAAGCTTTTTCAAAATAATCTGAATCTGAAAAAAACTGTAATTTGAGTATAATGAAAAACTATCGACTAACTTCTTCTGAGAAATATACTGATTATTATTATGAATGTGATAGATGAGAGAAAATGTAAAATAAGTTATCTTTTATAATTTTGAACAAACACAAACTATCATATTTACATAAAAATTTCAAAATTAATAATCACTTTTTATACAATATATAAAAAACACTTCTTTTATATTACTGACTGATTGGCAGATTGTGGTGTTCCTTTAGTTAATAAAGCTGTATTCATATTTTTTTTGGCCAACATTAAACCATTTGGCAGCATATTTTCTTCATCCTTATCACTATTTAACCTTATAAACAATCACATCTTCATCAATAGCTTTTCTATACGCTTTGGTACCTGTTACCATCTGACTTGCTACTTGGCATTTTGATTCCAAAAGTACATATAATAGATGCTACTTCTGCATCAGCTTTGCTGGTTTTTATTGAAAACTCTTGAAAATTTGAAGATTATCTATGTTGATCTATCTGTATTACTCAAATGTTTTCCCCCTTTCTGCAGCATTGTGCAGGCATAAATTGCTTGGCTGTACTTAAGTCCGAATCATCTGATGAGTCTGATTTTCTTTTCACCGGAAGCCGTGATGGCAAACTAAGAAGGTGGGCACTATCTGTGGATGCAGCGGCATGCTCTGCGACCTTTGAATCTCACTTGGATTGGGTAATTCTTCTCTCTCTAATCAAAATTTTCACACACACTACAATTGTCTGGTGACCCATGATTTTTTAAGAAGTACCTCATGAACACAATTTTTTTACTTTCTAGGGTTAGTAATGATGCTTTAGCTACACTACTTCCCCCCTATAGTCTCCAACAATTTCCTAAGATAGATATGTAACTGAACTTCATGTTAATCATGTATTAGTTTTGTTGCTTAAACACCAGATTTGATGATCAAGTTAGAAGGTACATGTGAAACAGCACGGAAAAGCTATTCACTATGCTATGTGAAAATTATATATTGTTCTTGGGAGCCTAGAATATATTATCGCAACCCTATATGTGAAGTGGGATTAAGATGATTATTATTTTTCTATTTCTAGTCTTTTATCTGCAAAGATAGTCTGCAGATAGTGTAGATAGTCTGTAGTTGTTTGAAGATTAGTTGATATATATATATATATATATATATATATATATATATATATATATATATATATATATATATATATATATATATATATATATATATATATATATATATATAGTTGTTTGAAGATTAGTTGATATATATATATATATTTTAGGAGCTCTTAGAATTTGGGTTTAGTGCATAACTCAATCCCATTAATTGACTTGTAAGATGAGGTCTATCGAAGCTTGTAATTACTACCTATGCCATCTTTACGGTTAGTGGAACTCTCAACCAGTGTGTGCAGGATCACGAGTCAACATGTGAACTCGTTCGATCCAATGTCCCTATCGCATGGCAGCGTGCTGTGACCAGATGGGATAGTATGTGGCAAACTTGGCGAACTCGCACGAGTTGGGAAGCAAACTCATTTTGAATTCAGAGATGTTGCACATCTTCTTTTTGGGTTTTTTTTAAGAAAAAACCCTAATTATTTAAAAACGTGCCTGGATCCAAGTCGGGTTTTATATTCGAGCTATCCAAAATATGTATGAACGATTATCGACTAGTGTGCGGGCACAGGGTGACGAGACAGACAAATTTTCTATTACAATAGGTTTGCATCAATGTTCAATCCTAAGTCCCTATCTTGTTTCATTTAATTTTAGATGTACTTACTAGAGTTATTAATCCCGGATAGCAGAACGGAGCGACCGACCTTAAAAGTGAAATGGCGGGATAATTTTTTAGACTAATTATGTGAATTAAAAAATTGTATACATATGCATAAAAATGATCATAGATAAATAAAATAATCTTCAAATATAACATTAAATGAATTAAATAATCATTATTTCATAACAAGTTTAAAATTAAAAGGTTTAATTTATTGTCTTTATGTGACGTTAGAGGTTAAATACTACTCTCGTATGTGGTATACAGATGTGTGACAAGAGATTTTACAGATTACCTTTTCTCCGTGATAACACTCTCCAATGCATTGAATTTAATATGATTTTCCAAATTATTTGGCTTTTCAACCCTTCATTCTTATTTGCGTCCTCATGCCACGACTTCATCTTCTTCCATTTTTGTCTTTGCCTCTTCGTCAAATCTATGACTTCATTTTCTTCCATTTTTGTCTGTGCCTTTTCGTCAGCTCCAACCTAAAACTGAGTAGTGAGATCTACGACTTCATCTTTTTCCATTTTCGTCTGTGCCTCTTCGGCCGCGCCTTTAAAAGCTACCGATGGCTGTGTTGTATTTTTGCACATCAGACAGTAAAAAAAAAACTGTCAACGTGATAGCGGTTGGAGCACTCCGTTCCTGCGACCCGTCTTCCCACCATTCGCAGCCGTGATCTGAAAGTGGGATCAACCCCACACCTCCATAGTGGAGGGTGGCCGCGCCGGGACAAAATCCCGGGATAGCGTTGTTCGCGGCCGCTATTAATAACTCCGGTACTCACAACACTGAGATGCATGTTTTTTGTCGATGATATAGTCCTACTTAGAAAGTCCAAGGAGGATTTAAATGAGAGGATGGAGACAAGCTTTAGAAACGTATGGTTTTCGCGTAAGCAAAAGTAAGATGGAGTATATGGAATGTAAGTTCAACAATAAGAGAAGCGCTTCTAACCTAGAGGTGAAAGTTGGAGACCATATTATCCCACAAAAGTAATTTATATTTGTTAAATTCAAACAGTGGGTGAAGTGTTTCTGTTTGTATTTGTTGCAATTGGTTTATTCTTGGAGTTTAAAAATTATACAAAGTTCGTAAAATGGAACACATAGTGTTGGTTTTAGCTTTGGATTAGAGTTTGTTCTGGAATAATTCAAGAATACATTGGTGCTTGTTAACAGAAGAATTCTTGGTTTGTCCATAAATAAAGGTGTTATATGAAGATTGAAGACAATTTTGGGTTTGATTCTTTGAATATAGTTTTGTTGCAGCCAATATGTTGCTATAGAAGAGTTGTAGAGTTGCATATTTGTGGAAAATGATATTGACAAAGTGGTACTGAATAGACTTGCACACTGCAGCTTGAATAATCTCTCTGTTTTTGGTTGTGTAAATGTTAACAATATTGAAGAAAATAGTGAAAGATTTGGGTCTATATTTTGCAGACCAAGTCTATTATTTGGGTAGTGTTTTTATTTCATTACTTTTCCACCTCAATTGACCTAACTTGATGACTATTGCTTTTGTCTTAACTTGATGACTATTGCTTTGTCTGTGGTGATTATCTTGTGCTACTAGATGGTTAAGTGTTGATATTTTGCTTTTGTCTTTAGTGGTTGAGTACTCTCGATGGTTAGTTAAACTTAAACTTGGTGCTTTGATTAACTTGTTGTTCTTTTGCCAAGTGACCAAACTTTGAGGTATAGATTAAGCTTTTGCTTGATGGCTTTGTTGATGTTAGCTTTTGTCCATGGTTAAGCATTGTTGCTTTCTCCAAGTGGTTAAGTCTTGAGTTGTGGCTTTTGCTTGATGGTTAAACCTTTTGGCGTATTGCTTTGATTTAAGCCCCGACTCCTTGCATTGTATTTTTTTTATTTGTATCTTTACTCATTCCAAGCAGTAAGTTGTTGTGAACACCTTCCAACCTGCATATACTTTTTCATCATTTTGTACTAGTTAACATTGATCAATATAGTAGAGCTTCAAGGTTTCTTCTCTTCTTCTCATGGATGTCGTGTTTTTCAATAAAGACATTAAAGACTGTTGGAGCGGTAAAACGGCAAGTAAAAATATTATTTTTGGAAAAATTCTCTCCGAGATTTATGTCGTCTCCACAGAGATCAGTGCGAGGGAAAGAATGCCGTTCGACAATCTCTACGTCTCTAAACTTGGGTTTAAATGGTTTGGGATAAAAAGGCAAAAGGAAAATATAAAACAAGAAAATAAATACATTATTAAGAAATGAGAAAACTCGTCAGGAGTTGTATTTCGTTCTACCCCATCATGTAATAAAAAATATATGGATCAAATGCACGTAACCCGTCAATATCATCACGTATCGCTCACAATAGAGGTTATCTCTAACGCAAAGTCGAGAGATCAACCGTATCGTCTCATCAGTGATGTCTCACGCAACTCAACAACAGGGAGCATTAAGAACTGATACTCCACGTGAATATCAGACCTAAATCTATGTCTAGAGTTTAGAATTTAACAGATGTTCATCTTAGGTCGAGTTCGAACCGTATATGTCTATATCAATCCAAACCCATTAAGTAAAAAATCAAAGATAACTATCGATAAAGAGTTGTAAAAGAGATTTTATACAAAGACCCATAAATTTACATACAATCAAGATAAACTTACATATAAAACCTCAACAAATAGAGGGTACAAAGAGAAGTGAGAAGAAGAACATAAATCTCACGATTTGTCAATTTCGATTGAAGTGGATTCGACTCCGGATCGTCAAGATATACACTCCATGTGTTATTTCTAAGCTAAATCTACTCAAGAATGTGTTTGATGAAGTTGGGGTAAAAAGTTTCTAACAACATAACTTAAAAAATGCTGAAAAATCACTTAAATAGGTAAAAAATGAGTTTTCGTGTTCGCCCAAAATGAGTTTCCGTTGGATTGCCTCCCAACAAGCGTTTGTTTCACGTCGTTAGGTCGACGCCTTTATTGTGCTTTGCTAATAACTTTCTCACATACATACCGATGCTTTGTCAAAGCGTCAACCTAAATAAAGTGTCCTAACCAAACACTTGAGCAAACGTTACGGGAACAAAATATATACTACACTTGAACAAACATAATGGAAGACAAAATTAAAACAAGTATCTATATAAGCATATATATAATTATGTGCAAAACTTAGAAATATAGAAACTATTACAATGCAATTCAATATCAAAACCAATTCCCGGCAAGCATATATATAATTATGTGCAAAACTTACAAATATAGAAACTATTACAATGCAATTCAATATCAAAACTAATTCTCGGCAACGACACCATTTTGTTGGAGAGGTAAAACGGCAAACAAAAATATTATTTTCGGAAGAATTTCCTCCGGAATTTATGTCGTTTCCACAGGGATTAGTGCCAGGGAAAAAATGCCGTTCGACAATCTCTACGTTTCTAAGTTTGAGTTTAAATGGTTTGGGATAAAAATGTAAAAGTAAAAATATAAAACAAGAAAATGAATATATTCTTAAGAAATGAAAAAACTCGTCAGGAGTTGTATTTCGTTCTATCCATCATGTACTAAAAAATATATGGATCAAATGCACGCAACCTAAATCACTCGTCAATATCATCATCGCTTACAACAGAGGTTATGTCTAACGCAAAGTCGAGAGATCAAGCGTATCGTCTCATCTGTGATGTCTCACGAAACTTAACAACACGAAGCATTAAGAACGGATACCAACGTGAATATTAGACCTAAATCTATGTCTAGAGTTTAGAATCTAACAAGTGCTCATCTTAGATCGAGTTCGAACCGTATATGTCTATAGGAATTCAAACCTATTAAGTAAAAAATCAAAGATAATCATCGATCTTAGTTGTAAAAGAGATGTTATACAAAGACCCATAATTATACATACAATCAAGCTAAA